AATATTTTTCTATCAGAGCTGTTTGTAAGTCAAAATGTTTGTAACTAGGGCCATTTGTAAGTTGAGTGTTGACTGTATATAGATAGGATAATGGTTACATAATGCCAATTAGGATTGGCCAAAGAAAGAGCCTTTGAAGTTAGCTTTCTATCTCTATGAGAAAGAGGAAGAATGGATAGCCACTCCTCCCTCGTCAGAAGCAGCTGCATCCTGAACCAGGATAGTATGCTCTCACTACAATAGATAACAGCTTAGCAACCTTGGGGAGAGGGTTCCCACACTTCTGAAAGCAGACAAAGAGCTTTCTTTTCAGGCAAGCTTTCACTTAACGGCTGGCTACTTGAAGTGGGCTTTTTTAATGGATTATTATGCTTTTTTGCTTTTAAATGTGTTTTTAATTTTGATTTTATCTACCATTTTAATAGAATATGTGTTTAATTCTTTATAAAATATTTGTATACATACTTGTTTTAGCTTTTAAATATTGTCTTTTTAATTATGTAAGCCACCTTGGTCCTTTTTAAGGAGAAGGCAAAGTAAGCTATTTTAAATAAATAAATCATTAAATTGGTTGAAAATGTGCATTAAATATTATTATGTTATTGAATGTTATGTTATTAAATGTTTGGAATGCAATAATATTTCAACTTCTACTATGTATTGCTAACATGTATTTGAAGGAAGCAGTAAAAGGTTCTGTTTCAGTTCTTTTTCCAGTATGCACATAATTCTACTGGAATGGCCAGCAGAGAATATTCTTTTCATAAAGAAACTCCAGGTTCAATCTCTGGCATCTCCAGGTGGGGACAAGGAAAAATCCTACTTGAAGCCCTGGAGAGCCACTTCATAAGCAATGCTAAGGTAGGCAGCTTCCTATATTTCTGTTATCTAGTATAAAATAACCATGGCATGGTGTCCCAAGTATCAGAGCTTTTACTTGGGACAAAAGAAGTTGAAAGATGGTTTTCTATCCTTGTGAGTTTGGAGAAAAAGCCTGTTCAGCCATGCAGAATGCAGTGTCATCAACACATTTTGAGGGGACCAATTAACTCCACCCTCTCCATTACCACTTTCTCAAAGCAAGCATGGATGATTATGAAAAGGAGAGGTTACTGTTTGTAACCACAGTTTTCCAGGGTTCTTTTTTGTGGAGAGGAACCTATGCTCTTCAGGCCTGCTGTTCCTCCAATGAAGAAAGTGGTAATAAAGAAAGCAGAGCTAGTTTCTCATCACTAAGTGTGTTGAAGAAACTGCATTCAGTAATGGCTGGGTGGGACAATAATCTTGCAATTATCTGAGCCATATATGAAGAACGAAATATTGTTTGAGCAGAGCAGATTGCATTCATGTTGTACAAAAGAATTTCAGCACCTTCAGAAGATCTATATAATTTTAGCTCAGTTAACCATTATTCTTTTGTAGATCTTCATTGTTTTGTATTGGCTTTCCCCAGTGGTTCTCAAACCTGAGTCCCCAGATGTTCTTGGACTTCAACGCCCAGAAATCTTGGCCAGCACAGCTGATGATGAAGGCTTCTGCAGCCCAAGATCATCTGAGGGCCCCAGTTTGAGAACCACTGCTAGAGATTATTGCATATTTTGTAAAGGGAGCTGTCCATCACAAGTCATACAGGAATTTTGTCTTTTCCTAGAATCATAGAATAATTTAGTTGGCCTATAAGGTCATCGAGTCCAACCCCCTGTTCAGTGAAGGAATACAAATCAAAAGACATCTTCCAGGTGGTTGTCTAAATTTCTCTTGAATGTCTCTAGTGTTGCAGTACTCACCACCTCTCAAGGTAAGTGGTTCCATTGTCATACTGCTCTAACAGTTAGGACATTTTTCCTGATATTCAACCAAAATCTGGCTTTCTGTAACTTGAGCCCATCATTGCATGTTTTTCATTTTGTATTGTTTCTCAACTGAACTGGTCTAAATTCATATCCCTGCAAAATACACTGTTTACTTCTGCCCTCCATTGTGGACAGTTTCTTGTCAAGACAATCTGGGGTGAGATTTGTGCAGCAGATAGCAATAACAGTTCTATCTCTTCCTACAAGTTGTTGCATCTCTTTTCAAATGAGATACTAAGTGTGATCAACCTTTGAGTGCCAAGCAAACACAACACTAAAGTAAGTTGTATGGCTATACAGGAAGAGAAAGTGTTTTAATATCTCAGCAAGGCACTCAAATTCACTATTCATTAGTCCTTCACTTTTCATTAGCCATCCTGTGGTTTGGGCAAATGTGTCCATTTTTCAGCTTGCAAAATAAAACAGCAAATTTCATAACATTGCAAGGTTTGCAGTGATAATTCAGTGAGGAATTGTGAGTAGGATAGATTCCAAAACAGAATTAATTGAGTACAAAAAAAAATGTGGTATTGTAGTCAAAGAGTATTCTGTAAACTTAAAAGCCAACAAATTGATCTCTCCTTCACTTAAGAATGAAGAAAAGCTTCACCACCACCACCACCATCATAATCATCTTAGAACTGCAGAGTGGAGGGAACTCTACAGATCATTGAGTTCAAGCCCTGTCAAGGAGACAGTGGGAAACCAAAGTCCAACCTCTAGCTCCACAGGCAGATACTAAAACCACTCAACTATTCAGCAGTTCAATAGCTCAATTATTCCCTCCATAACAAGTTTAATTAATGCACTGATTTTACTCAATATAGAAAGACTTCGCACAGCAAAGCTGAAACTCACTAATCATGTTTTAGAGGACACCATACAATCACAAATGAAGGCCATGTTTATAAATTTACCTTGTTTATGCATGATATTTATGAATAATTCAGCAATGAAACTAAATATGTAGACAAAGTTAGATACAAACAGTATTCTTGTACAATTTTGTAGTGGAGAAAGCAATACTGGAAGACTCTTGAAAATATTCAGATTCAAATTGAAATGTTTCTGTTTGCACACATCTTGAACTTGAAAGGTGTTTCGTAGGCTATGCTGAATAACATTATCTTATCATGAATGGCTAAGAGCAGGAGAGATGTGCCTATTTCTTATTATGTTCTGCTCAGCTCTCCTGTTCTTCTCTTTTCAGTTTTTGCAACACTTTTCACAGTCATGTCAAAGGTTATAAAAACAGAATTGTTTGCAAGGAAAATTCACATGGCAACGTATTGCTGATTTAATAGTTTTGACCATTCATGATCTACTAGGAGTTACAGTAATCTATCAAAATGCAACCTAAGATGCTGAAAGAACAGACATGTCAGCCTCATTCTCAGAGGAGAATGTCTTGCTCTAAGGAATCTGATTTAATAATTCAAACATAGGATCACAAAAGTAGTGGTGGGGAGGAAAGGGAAAGCTTTAAATGCATGAAGAAAATCTTTATATAAAAGGAACTAGAAGTACAGTTCTGACAACTCAATGCCTGATTAATTTTTTCAACATTTGCACTCTTTCACACTGAGTAATGGAAGTGAATACTTTTTACAAGTGGAGACAAAAGCAAAAGAGGATAAGCAAACCAAGCCCTAAAAAAAGTAACCTGTGTTTTTTTGGGGGTGTTGTTGTTGTTGTTGTTGTTTACTGCTTCTAGTGTATAAAGGGTAACATGACTTTCCATAACATCTCATACTCCCTGAAACACAGAGACCAGTTTGTTTCACTGCTTTCATCCCTGCTTTCTGGTGACAACATAACTGTTAAGGAAAGACAATTTCCCTGATGCTCCATGTCTATGCTAAGAGCACAGCACCATCTCTGGCAACACCAGCCCCTTCCTCGCTCAAAATGCCACAATTAACCAGTGACCTAATAGCTGACAGCCTCTACTTAGGGCCATTAATAAATGTGAGCAGGATCGGTCTTTCTCTTTGCTACTGTTGTTTAGAGTATTTTGCAACTGTATGTATGGACGGGGTGGGGTGGGGGAGCAAAGCCCTAAATCAGGGACTAAAAGGTAGCTGGTGAGTGGAAGAAGAGCAAACATTCCTTAGGATGATAAAAAGAGCTCAGAGGATAAGAAGCTGTATTCTCCATCACACCCCTGAATTTTCTAACACTTTCTTCTCCTCCTGCATACACCTGCAGATTTTCCAGCAACCATACCGTATAATACATTTCACACACTCACACACACACAGACACACAACTTCATCCATGCACCTTCCAAAGGGCAAGCAAAACAGTGCACGCCTTAAAGCTGGGCTCAAGCCCTTGGCTTCTGTTTCTTTCAGTGTAAGTCAAAAGCTTTCTGTTCCATTTGGTAGTTAACACCCCACCCACGCCCCACACCTTCCTTACCCAAGAAAGGTCACTGTGCAAAAAGTGTTATTGTGTGTCATATATACATTAAGCACCTCTTAGTACTTTGCCTGCCAAGTGGAAACAGGCACGCCTTCCCCTTCTTTCTTTCTTTCTTTCTGTCGGTCTGTCTTTCTTTCCATCCCCCCCTTCTCCTTTCTCCTCCCCATCTCTCTTGGATCAGAGGATTTCTCGCATTCGCACCCCACCCACCTCATCGCTCTTTCCTTTAGCCCCCCCCATCACTCCCAGACCACCTAAAATGGTCCCTTCGTCGACGGGAAGCAACCGTCGACAGCCACGTCCCAGAGGCGTCCCTTCTCGACGCGGGAGGCGGCCGGACGACACCTGCCCTCTCGCCGGCTCCGTCTGGCCGCTGAGAGCGTCCCTCTTTCCCTCCCTCAGCCCCAGCCAGCGCGACGGCACTTTCCCTTCGGTGTCTTTCTCCTCGCCATCATTCGCTACAACTTGGGTTGCTGCTCGGGAGTCCCTCGCCTCGCGCCCCCTATACCCCCCCCACCCTCACTCCCTGCTGGTCCCAACGGGGTGGCCACCGGGGCCTCGACGAGGGCGAGCGAGCGAGAGGCGAAGAGCGCGGGCTCCCAAGGAGGCGGCGTGCGCGGGGCGGGGGAGGGGAGAGCGTGTGAGAGGAGAAGCACCAATAAATTGGGCGCCGGAGCGAGCGGAGAGCAGCGGGTGTCCTTCCACGGGAGGGAGCCTGCCTACCTGGTCTTGTTGAGCCTGGCTTCCCCTGGAGCCCGGGTTCGGCTGTGCCGCCGCCTGCTGCTGCTGCTCCTTCATGGCTGTCATTGTCCAGAGGGGGGCTCGCACTTCCTCTCACGGGTCCTGCAGTCGGAGAGCCCCGTCCCTCGGCCCCAATGGCATGACACAAGCTTCCCCTTCTCTTTCGGTCCGGCGACGGGCAAAGCAAAAGTAGCGGCGGCGAACGGCTGGCAACCACAAGAACAACAAGAAGAAGATCCCCGGCGAGAGGCAAGGGGGAAAGGGAGCCCTGACCAGGCAGTGGCGGCACCAGCCTGCGTGCCTCTCGCTGGCTGGCTGGCTGGTTGGCGCGCTGGCTGGCTCGCTCGCCGGCTAGGCTACCGCAATCCCTCTTCTTCTTCTTCCCCCCCTCCCCTCCCCTCCCCTCAGGCTGAAGCCAACTGAGGGGAGAAGAGCGAAGAGAGCGCGAAGCGCACCGAGAAGGCTGGAGGGAACGGCTCCGAAAAGGGGGCGGCTAATGAGCGCGCGGCCACCCGAAGCCGGCAGCCTCCTGGGACTTGGGTTGGCTCTCGGCGCGGGCAAGGTCTGGCATTCCGGCGGCAGCAGGGTGGGTTCCCCTCCAGGAGGGCGGCAGGACCGAAGGCGTCGCTGCTCCTGCCGCGGGCAAGTCCCGGGGTCCAAGACCTTCCTTCAGAGAGGCAGGTGAGGGGAGCGCGAAGGCAGCGGGAGAGGAGACAAGAGCGCGCGGTCTTTCTCTCTCTCTCGTTCTCTATGCCTGCCTCCCTCCCTCCACCCTCGCCTCTCTCTCTCTCTCTTGCTCTCTCCCTTTCTCACAGCAGCTGGGCACTATCCCGCAGCCCAGCGCCGCTAGCGCCACAGCAGGAGCGAAGGAGGGGCAAGTGGCACACAGCTCTGCTCTCCTCAGATGGACGGCACAGACGTTTTCCCTCCTCAGCCGGAATAGACCATTCGGGCCCCCCAGGCATAGGGGACGGTGCCGACGCCGGGGCTGTCGTCGGTAGCCGCGCTGCTGCCTACCTGGCGGCTTGTGGAGCTTCTTGTCCGTAACCGCCGCCGTCACACACACGCACACACACACACACCCCTCAGTAACCGCCGCCACACAAACACACACACCCCTCCCGCGCCGCAGCCTCTTCCTCTTGCTCCTCCTCTCGGGCTCATCAGTAGCAACTCTCTTTCCGCCTTCCCGATCTTGATGGGTTTCTGAAGGATTCACTCTCTCGAGGGAATCTCCACCGTGGGGTCGGGCAGGCAGGGCGTTCGCTCGGAGCCCTGGAGGCTGGAGGGGGCGTTGTGGGTGCGAAGGGCAAGCAGGAGAGGGCCAGGCGGGGCGCTGCCTTGAACAGGGACCGGTCCAGTTCTTCTCCCCGAGGATGGGACTTGCGCGCCCGCCCAAACAAAAACGGCAAAGCCATTGCCGGCGGGAGGCTCGTGGGCGATCCGTCCGGTTCTAGGGGAAGAGTTACGTTCTGAAGGCCATCATCACTTTTCTACAAAAACGTCTTTTGGCAAAAAGTGCTTCTAACTAGTCATGCTTCCCCAGAAAGTAAACAGATTTGATACAGATACTGTACTGTCTTCCATGTGGAAATGGAAAAAGGGAAAGAAAGCCCCAGTAGTGTCCTTCCGATCCAGAAGACGAATATGCTGTAACTCTGTGCCCAGCTATTGCCACATTCTCAAGTATGTGAGAATGAAGCAAACAAAAATCCGTTAATTATTTAACACATTTTTAAATCAACATCATGGAATCATGCAGTTGGAAGGGGCCTATAAGGCCATCAAGTCTAACCTCTTGCATTGAGCAAGGAATACAAATTTAAGGGCATCAAAACAGCTTAGCAGTGAAAGGTGGGAAGAAGAAGAAAAAAAGCAAACAGCGGGATTTTTGTTTTAAGGACAAAGGCTAGTTTTACCAGAAAACTCCTATTTGTTTCTCAACAATCATGCTGATGCTGTCTAACATAAATTCCTAATGGTGATCTGAAAGGACAAGTGGTATCACTGCTCCTGCTGAAGGTAGCCTGAATCAATTGGAAGAAACCAAAAGGTGCATCCGTATAACATATTTCTTATATCAGAGGTTGCTTTATAACTTCTTGAATCCATCAGTTGTCACAGCATTCACATATTTTGCAGAAGCACCCAAACATTCTAAAAAATAGTATTTCAAAGGAAAAGATGCTCACATCATGCTTTCTGAAATTTTTCGAATATTTTAGTATCTATCATTGCTGAACTGATTGATCTTTAAAGGAAAAAAAAGGAAAAATATCTATTTAAAACCTGGCATCTGCTATATATATAACTGGTTACAGTCTCTTAAATCATACTCTGACAGCATCCATTTGCACCCCAGATAAATATCGTCACAGCAGGCAGTCTCCCCATATGTGTGTAGGTGGCTTAGGGGCCACCCCACACCTAAATTTGGGTCCGTCACAAGCTGTCACAGGCTGCAGAAAGCCCACTTATCCTTCCAGGTAGACTCACAGAAGGTCATCCACCAGCTGAGAAAATCACCATCTCTCATTAATTTCCAGTCTTTCAGATAGGAGATCATTAGCACTAATTCTCATGAAGGATCCAGAAAAGATAATCAAGTTTAAAGATATGTCACTGGAGGCCAAGATCAAGATCATCCACACTGTTATATTGCCAATCATCATGTAAAATGTCAGGAAAAGATTCATTTGGAATGTGGTGCTGAAGGAGAACTTTGCAAATACCCAGAAAGATGAATAACAGAGTCCTAGACCATATCAAGCCTGAACTGATGATGAAACTGAGGCTGTCACCTTTAGGGCACATCATGAGAAGGCAGGATTTTCTGAAAAAAGCAATAATGCTTGGAAAGGTGGAAGGCAGCAGGAAAAGAGGAAGAGCAAATATGAGATGGACTGAATCCCTAAAGGAAGCCCGCAAATACCCAGAAAGATGTATAACAGAGTCCTAGACCATATCAAGCCTGAACTGATGATGAAACTGAGGCTGTCACCTTTAGGGCACATCATGAGAAGGCAGGATTTTCTGAAAAAAGCAATAATGCTTGGAAAGGTGGAAGGCAGCAGGAAAAGAGGAAGAGCAAATATGAGATGGACTGAATCCCTAAAGGAAGCCACAGGCTTGAGTTTGCAAGAGCTGAACTGAGCTCTTGAGGACAGGACAATTTGGAGATTGCTCATTCATAGCTTTGCCAAGTCAGAGGCAACTTGATGGCACATAACTAAAATTCTCATAACTAATAAGAAAAAGGACTAATGAGCTCTTGAGGACAACTTAAAACAACTTAGATTTCCCCTTGATTTAAAAATGTTCTCCATACCCTGATAAAATTCTCATAACTAATAAGAAAAAGGACTAATGTATAAATAACAAATGTTCTACTTAAAACAACTTAGATTTCCCTTTGATTTAAAAATGTTCTCCATACCCTGATTTAAATAGATAACTATTTTGGCCCAGGCTACTACTAGTCCACACAGAGAACTGAGTTTAAAAAAGAAAAAGAAAAGGAAAAAGTCTTGAGAAATCCTGTCAGCAGCTATTAGGCAAGATAGCCAAGGAGTTGCACCAAGAGAGTGTCCCAAAATCCCAGGCTGCTTGAAGTTACAGCTGATTGACAAGGATGGCATACTCCTCAAGTGCTTTGTTCTGCTTTATACTTTATGTAAAGCATCACACAGTACTCAGAACAGTCTCCTGTCAGAAATTATCTAGATGAGTCGTTCCTCTGAGACATCAACTGTTCTTATCTTCAGAAGAGTTGGAAGCATACCCAAAGTAGTGCCACTGGATGCAGAGTTATAGAGAAAAGAAGAGGAGGAAGTTCCATTCTGCTAGCAGAAGTCCACCTGCGTGATTCTTGCCAAAACACATAGGCTCCCTTTTGACCTAGGTAAGACTTTGGGAGCCTCACAATAGGGAGTCTTTAATATTGGGAAATTGCTGCTGGAATACAGCTAGTGGTTCCAATCCCTGCGGTAGTGAACCAGTGGCAACTTTCCTATAGTAAAGGCTCCACCTTTGATCCCAAGGCTCCCAAAGGCTTTGCCAGGTCAAAAGGGATCCCTAGGGTGCCTTGGAACCTGGGAAGATGGTATAGGAGGCTTTTAATTCAATTAAATAAAAGAGTAACATTGTGGGTTGATGGCATCCTCATTGTTTATGCCCACATCATTACTCAATAGGATGTTAAGCAGTAAATGTAAATAATTTTTGAATACAGAAGGAATACAGAAAGAGAGAGAGAGAGAGAGAGTCCAATGATGGGTGTGGTTTCTTTGGTAAACTCTGCCTCACAGTCAAGATTGCTGTAGCCATTTCTATACAGATTATTTGTGCTCTTTATATGGTTAGAATATAGACAGAAGGTTGATTTCAACTAATTGACAATGATTTAATTCACAATTGACTCAATTATTTCATAAATGGTCTTGAATGTAATACCCTTTAATAGATCTTCAGTTAGCCACAATTATACTCTGTGGGGTGCTATAACTAAGCATGGCAATGATGGAGCACAAAGTAGAGAAACTTTAGCAGTTCATTCATCTAATCTGATTTGTGGGTAGGCACCTGAATTCTCTAGATAAGCATGGTTGTGCTGTGCTGAGTGCAAAATGAGCAGGGCCATCAGGATATGAGGACATTCAGTTGGAATTCCTATGTTTGCAAATAGGAGCAAACACAGAGAGTTTTGTTTTGTGAAGGTTGCCTATAGACAATATTAGCTGGCTAGACAGCTCTGTTATTTAGGTATCTGGCTGCAGAGCCGGAGGCTCAGAATTCAATTCCCCAATATGCCTCCTGTGAGCCGAGCCAGGCTGTGTGGCCTTGGGCAAGCTGCACAGTCCCAGGGTGTTCCCAGAAGTAGTAAATAGTAAACCACTTCTGAGAACTCGGTGCCTAGAGAACCCTGGAAAGGGTTGCTGTAAATCAGAACTGACTTGATGGCACACAATAATTGCTATTATTATACAGACTATATTGCATTTAGACTACCAGAGAGAGGATTTTATTCCATCCACATCAAATCTCTCACTCCTCCAAGTATGCTGCTTTACAGAAGCTTTGTGTGGTACTAACATTGGGACTACTGCACATTGCCTTTGTAGCAACAGTAATGCTTCAGAGTTCTGCTGAGATCCTACATTCAGCTACCAGCTGATGCTCAGTATGTTTCAACACAGCAGTCATTGCAACGCATCTGAAACAATTACATGTTAGTACGTTTTCTGATAAGATGAAACTGTCGGTGCCTAAGTCTGCTTTTTGACTCTTGCAATATCTCCTCCAGGGCCATTATCCCTTCTAGATGTCTCTTCCTTTCAACTGAAGTACTATCGGACACGTATTTTAGACAAGATGCCATACTTGACATGTTTCTGGCGAGCAAGTGTTGACATGAAGTCAGCATTTATCTTAGTTAGCACTAAATGTAATAAGTGGCAGGGTGACACTTATAACGCAAGGAAGAAACATGTGTTTCTTGGATGACTGGTTCTTCCTTTTTTTTTACAGCAGTACACGAAATGGCATATGCCATTCTCAGAAATAAGGAACATGTGAACCAAAAGGAAGGCAAAAGACCTGATCCCAAAGTTCTAAAAAAACAAACAAACAAAACAAAACAAAACACCTTACAATATCAGTTTGTGTTATCATTATCATCAGGCTTATCATTATAAAACTGCCAGACACCCAAAGATGCCAGGGCACAGTATGAAACAGAATTCTCCCTAGTCATACACAAATACAATAAAAACAAAACAGAATATTGTCACACAGCCATTTCAGAAGCTGAAGAAGTATGAAAGAACCCAACACCTAGAAAGCCCAAGCAAATAAATAAAGGGGCATCTTGTTTAAACAGGAGGCTTGGGGAAAGGAAGCAGAACCTTAGGCATAGGATCAAAATTAAAATGTTCCCAAACAGCAGTTTTGGGATGTACCTGCTGTTTCCTTTCTTAAATGCCCACTATGGCTCTGCCCTTCTTCTTTCCCCAAACATTAATTGT